TTCCATATAAATACCTGTAATAAATAATAAAGATCCTAAAATGTTTATAACTGTAACAGCATAATCCAGTATTTACTATGCAGCATCCTCCCTGTCAAAGTGCCTTAAGGTCTTTTCGTATGCATGGAAACAGATTATGCAGCTGACAGCTGTTCCATTGCTGAGTAAATGCTTCCTCAACAGCAGTTGATGAGCTATCTTTAAGGGGAAAATCTTCATCAGACTTAATTTTTTGTCAAAAAGAATAAGATGTAGCATTAGTTACCTTCCTGTTATCCTGATCCACTAGTTTCTCTCTAGCAATACAAAGTTTGGTAGCAACAAGTGGCCCACTCGATATTTGATGTTTTAGCCTGATGTTGCTCCCCTATAGCTTTCTGTAGGTTACCTGGGAGTATGGTGCATTTGCATAAGGCCTAAAATCCTTTTGCACTTTTTTCTTTACTTTTTTTCTAAAAATTTCTAGCTTCTCCACCCAGCTAACATATCGCCATGTACTGACTTCTGCTTTCTGTGCACCACTGTCCTCTACTGGATACTCAAAGGTTTATTCTGAACTCCATAGTTAAGGAGCATAGGTTACGTGGCAACTGTAGCAGAGGATAAATAACTGGGAGCAACAGTGGCCCACAGAAGAGCATTTTAAAAATCAATATTAATAGACAAAAAAATTAAATAAAGGTTTTAACTTTTAAATCAATCTATGTACTGATATGGGCCTCTATAGTATCTAGGGCCTGGTTTACTTAAATAGTTTCTTTATAAACTATTTTTAGCATCAGATAATGTAAATAAGCATGTCAATATTAAAACTTTCAAATTTAATGAAGATGCTAGAAAAGCATATAAAGGTGGCAAAAGGCACATGCCCTGCAATTAACATTAATGTACAGGAATCACAATTCAGGAAGCACTAAACCACATAATTAACTTTAAGAAGGTACTTAAGTCCCACTGGAATCACCTTGCAGCTAATGCTTGAATACTTCACTAAATGAGGGACCTAGAGACCACAGTGGATCAGTTGGTGAATACAACCAAAGGGCAATACCACTGCCTGGAACTATACCCAATACTTTCATACCATGGGAGAGAAGTCATTAGTCAAAACGTATGTGATGTGTTATTTATTAATGTGGGGGAAGCTTATAAATGTGGGTTCATTTACACCACCACCCTCTGCTGATTTGTTTACTGGGTTTTTTCCCTCAGTGAGAATCTACTTGTTTCCGTTTATTTGCCTTGGGAAATTATTTCTGCCCCATTCTCTCTCTCACCAGGGCAAACGGACGACATCTGTGGACAAGACAAGCCATAGGGTCCAATGCATTTTCCGTGGAGCTCACTTTTCAGCTGATGATCCCCCCCAATCCAAAGCTGACCCACAACATTTTGGCACCTGAAGAGGAGAGCTCAAATGATGCCCCCATACCCCTTCGCTTGGGCCAAAACTTTGAAAGGTCTCAATTCTGCCTTCTTCCTGTTCTATTCCTCTCATAGTACTGCTCTGCTACCTACCCCAATAAAGGAGAACTAACAACTTAAAATGCCTTGTTCAAAAATTTTAAGTAACACTTAACTTTCAAACGCCTGAACAGCAAATGTAACTTTTCTTGTCTGCATAGTAAACACTGGCATTTTTATCTGTTTGAATAATCAAAGTGGTGCTTTCCGTGCCTTCTTGGTTGCAAAGATATGAACTGCTTCCTGCTGAAGATCCATAGTCAGGGCCAGCTCATGCTCTGTTGAGATGGTTGCAAGGCCGACCAGCCTCTCCGGTGTCATTATGGAGCGTAGATGTGTTTTTATTAACTTCAGCTCGGAGAAGCTGAGTTCTCCACTGGCAACTGTTACAGGAAGTGTTAGAAGTATGCGCAGAGCAACAAAATCATTTGGAGAGAGGGCGGTCATCGTATTTGTGCACATATATTCCAGAACAGCCTTTGGAATTGATCCTGCTGAAATGTATCTTGAAAGGGCTTTCAGTTCATGACCTAAATCACTCGCATCAATATCGCACATGTCATCATGTGTCAACACTGTCTCTAGTGCCCTGCATTGCTGGTGTAGGTCTTCTTCAGGTATAGTGAGGAGTTTTGGAATATCATACAACATCCCAAATACACTGCTGTGTTCCTTGAGCTGCATGAAATGTTCTTCAACTGACTGTATTGCACAATCTAGCACCTGGTTAAAGAATTCAACTTTGAATTGTTGTTTGGGGTCTCTTATGGGATTATCTCGTGCCTCGTAATCAAAATGTCATCTTCTTCGGTGACTCTTGTATTCTGAAATGGGTGGGAAAATAGATTCAGTGCGAAGTTCCTCTGCCAACTTCTGTGCACTCTTCAGAACGTTTTGGAATCCCTCATCTGACCGGTAAGACTGTAGGTATGACTTTGCTTTCTCCAGTTGTTCCATTGCTCCAGATATATCAAGTTCAACACCTTGGAGTCTCTTGTTCACAACCTTTATTTCAAACAGTATGTCATGCCACAACACTAAGCCACACAGAAATTTGAAGTTCTGTATGTTTCTGGTGATTCCATTTCCCTCTGCCACTGTTCTCCCATGAACAGTTCCTGTCATAGCATTATCCTCCATAATGGCAACTGTGGCATCATCTATCTTCCCAATTTGGTGTTTGATAGGCTTTATCGCCTCCACTCGACTTTCCCATCGTGTGGCACTCAGTGGTTTCAGTGTCAGAGAGGATGTTCCCAGATACATGTTGCTTCAAAATTTGCCATCAATGAGTTGATGCACAGAAAAAAACATAGATGCTTTGAATTACATTAAAAAATTCAGCAGCCTCACTAGAAGCTGATGCTGCATTACCGACCACCAAGTTCAATGAATGAGAACTGCATGGGACAAAAAAAGCTCGAGGGTTTAATTCTTGGATCCGTGTCTGCACTCCTGTTCTTTCCTCTCATTTTGGCACCATTATCGCAGCCCTGACCTCTCATGTCAGCTATCGCAATTCCCATATCTTCCAGCTTTTTAAGACGCACATTTGTCATACCAGCTCCTGTAGTATCATCAATGTCAATAAATTCTAGAAAATGCTCTCTGACAGTCTCACCATTGCAGGGACATTTTCACTATGTTCTGTTGTTACAAAACGCACCATTAAAGTCATTTGTTCTGTATGGCTGATGTCAGGTGTGGAGTCCAGAATAACAGAGTAATATCTTGCTGACTTCAGATCTGCCACAATCTTCTGTTTGACTTTTTTTGCCAGTAACTGTGTGATCTCAATTTGAATTGTTTTTCCAAGGTAGTGGTGTGTGTACATTTCTTGGGTGGTGACCCTTCTTAGATGCTCCTGGAGTACAGCATCAAACTCAGCCATCAGCTCCACAATTTTAAGGAAGTTTCCATTGTTTGGCACATACAGCTGATCTGAAGTGCCACGCAGTGCTAGGTTTTGGGTAGCAAGCATTCTCACAATGGCAATGAGCCTTTTCAGAACATTTTGCCAGTAAAGAGACTCTGATGCAATCTTCTCTTGATGCCAATCATCTGTGGTGGCCTTTAACCTTAGTCTCATCTCACGCTCTTTCCACCTATGGAATGCTCTCTGGTGATTTGCTGCCTTCTTGTGGCATGCCAGATTTCTTGCTAGATTTTTTCAGTCCTTTGTTCCTGTAGAACCCAATGTGGCTAGAACATTAGACTGGAAGAGTTTGCAACAAAACCAGTATGCAGCATTCTGGGCTTTTGAGTACATAAGACATGGCCTCTCCACTTTGTCACCATTGGGGATTTCACTCCAGTAATGTGTTGCATGGAAACTTCTATTTTCATTGTCTTTGGGGAACATGAAGTTTTTCACTTGCTGTGGCCTGTGCAGTACAAGGAATTCCCTCAGGCTACTGCTCAAGTGGGTCCACAGTCCTGGATCATCTAGACTTAAGGAACCAAACTCAGCAGCAGCTGTTTCTTGCGTCTCCACCACACTCTTCTCTGATCTACACTTTTCTTTAGGAATGTGTGTGGTTACATCCATTTGAGATGGAGACATGGATGCTGCAGTAGCTGCCAGGTCACCGGCACTCTGACTAACTGGAAGATCAGGCATCTCCTCACTGCTCACATCCTCACTGGGGCCGGAAGGCTCATCGTGAACATTTGTGTCTATATATTGCAGGAGAGCTCCTTCCTGCTTAGATAGCAAAGGAAGCTTTTCTTTCTTTTTCTGAACGCTGCCCCAAAGGGGCGTTTTCTTCTTTCACTAATGACTGCTGTTCTGTGCCAGCTATAGTGGCTCTCAACACTCAACTGAAGGGGACAAATAAGCAGGCTGGTATCAAGGCCTGAGTGAGGGAAGCTATCAGCGTCTTAAGGGCCTAACTGGCTCCTACTACTTCAGTTAACTGCCTGTTCTCCTCAACTGGGTTCAGGGAAACAGGAAGCTCCCTGAGAAGTTGGGGTTAATAAGTCCAGGCTCCTGGAGAGGTAGATAAGAGCCTCCTCCTCCTCTCTCCCTGCAGCTCCTGCTGCTTTCTGTTATTGCCTCGCACCTTTGCTCTTGGCCGCCTGTTAGGTCTCTTGCGCCCTCCTTCCCCTCCAGCACAGCACTCCACCATCTCTGTGCAGCTAGAGGAGAGAGAATGCATTGCACCAGCAGCAGACACAATTTTCTTCACTCTGGGTCCTGGTGCCTCTCCCTGCTCCCAGTCTGTGGCACCTGCCGCGGCCGCCTCCGTTTGCTCCAGGCCAGCGCCGCCCCGACCCCCGATGCCTCTTTCTCCTCGCGCCCTGAGTCATTTCAGTGCACCAGGGAGTAACCGCAGTGATTTACTTGGGAGTGAGAAGTTCCCTTCACTCCAAACCTTTCCCTACTTCGGAGCAGAGCGCGTTTCCCCGCCCGCCGGTCTGCATGAACCCAGAGCCCATCCCGCCTGCTGGAAGCCGGTGGGGTTGTTCCCCTCGTCTCAGGTTTCCGGATCGGCCTCTCTACTGGGGGGTCGCTCAATCGCAGGCTCCGCCCTTCCCATCAACCACTCGCTGCCAGGGGCGCGCTATGCACAGGTCACTGCGGGAGGGCGGCCGGGGAGCCCCCCCATTCCAGCTGGGGGGCGCACGGGCTCCAGGAGCCCGCTGCCCCTCCCCTCGCGGGACGCCGCCGCACGCCTCGCTCTGCGCCTCTCCCGGCTGCGGGGCCGCCATGTCTCCGCTGCGCTGGGGCGCTTGGCTGCTGCTGCTCGCCGGCCCCGCAGCCTCCTCCGCCAGCCCGGCCGACGAGAGCGGCGGGGCGCGGGGAGGGGGCCGCGGGGACGGGGAGCGGGGGGCCCGGGAGGAGCCGCAGCGGCAGCAGCACGACTCCTCGTACGGCACCTTCGCCAGCGAGTTCTACGATCTGCGCTACCTCTCCGAGGAGGGTGAGGGGGCCGGGGGGCGCGGGGTGGGGAGCCTCCTGTTGGGGTAGGAGGAGGAAGCTGCAACCCCCGGCCCGGTGAGGTGCCCCGAGGCCGCGGGGGAAGGGGGGGGCGAATTGAGCTGGGAGGAGGAAGCATGCAGCGAGGGCAGGGAGAGGAGCTGGATGCACGGGTGTGTGTGTGTGAAGCATGCGGGAATGAAGGGGAGAGTGGAGCTGAAATGCACCAAGGGGAGCGGGAGAGTGGAGCTGGATGCACGGAGGGGTGCCGGGGGAGAAGCATATACAGGAGGGAGGGGAATAATGCACTGGGACACGGGGGCGGGGATGGAGCATGCACCCAAGGGGAGGGAGAGGAGGAGCTGGATGCACCGGGGAGGATGAAACATGCAGGAATGAGGGGGAGACTGGAGCTGAAATGCACTGATGCGGGGTGGGAAGGGAGAATGGAGCTGGATGCCCTGAGACACTGGGGGGGATGCACCAAGGGGAGCTGGAGAATGGAGCTGGATGAACGGGGGAGGGTGAAGAATATACAGGACGGAGGGGAATAATGGAGCTAAATGCACTGGAGCGGGAAATATGTGGAGCATGCATCCGAGGGGAGGGAGAGAAGGAGCTGGATGCCCGGGGGAAGATGAAGCGTGCATCGGAACGAGGGGGAGACTGGAGCTGGATGCATTGGGACACGGGGGGGGAATGGAGGGAGCTGGATGCATCGGCAGTGGGAAGCTGCACAAGGCTGGTGGAGGGTCCATGGTGGGGGGATGGGCTGCTCCCTTCTCGGCCCCGCTCCTGGCCGGGTCTCCCTCCCCGTCGCCCTGCTGCCCTCCTGTCTGTGCCGTGGAGCCGCCTGGCCCCGTGTTGTCGTTTCAGCACGTTGGCTAGTAACTCGGCGGCGTCCGTTCCCTGCTGTGGCCGGGCGGGGGCCTCCGAGCTGCTGCTGTGGGGCGGCACTTTCTGGGGCACGTTTGGAGCCAGCCCCACGCCCGTCAGCTCCCGTCGTGCAGGGCCCGTGGCTCCTGGGGCGGGTGCCGAAAGGGGAGTGTCGGAGGCGAGGCCTGGTGCAGGGGTCGCAGTAGACTGAGGCTCGTCGCAAACGAAGAGAGGGAGAGAGAAATCTGCCCTTCTGTGGGTCGGAGCTGTGTTTTGGGTGTCAGACATCTTTGCTATTGACAATCAAATGCTCTTCATCCTGGGAAAAAGGACTGGCAAAATGAGCATCGCTCCCCCTCCTCTCCCTGGCTTGGGCACCCCTCCTAGCTGCCCTTCCTTTTGGCTGGGGTGCTGAGAGCTCTACCACCAGTCTCAGTTTACAGTAACCATTATTGGTGTCTCCAGGCTTTGGAGCAAGAACTTGGAATCAGGCACTGCGACAGTGCTGGGGTCACAGAGGTGCCTAACGCTGCGCCCTGCGCTTTCGCAGGGAATACAACCTTGTCTCTCCTAGAGAACGCTCAAGTGTTCTCCTCATGGGTACACAGCCTTTCAGGCTAAATGTGCCAAGTCTCTATTCCCACCACTTGCAAATCAGGGCTCACGTATACTCCCATTGGGCAGGAGACCCTTGCACTGGACCTCATGCAGAGACTGGAAGACCCAGTTAGGTTTCACATTTCTCTTAGCAGAATATCCTGCTATCTGTAGCCTATTTTATTGTTGGTTCTGAGGTGCAGTCTGTCTTCTGTCCTCAACCATCTATGCAATGGCAGCCAAGCATTCTCTTTTCACAGGTTACCTTGGTATAAAGATGACCTGTGACAGATGAGGCATATAGATGAGATAGAGACTAATGTCCGTGGCAAAAATCATGCAGTCACATTGATTGCAGTATTGTTTTAAGTGGTGATGGTGAAGAAAGTTTTTCCCTATCTGTGAAATCCATTTGTCAGAGCTTTTCCAGGTGTGTGATGGGTTGATCATGCCTGGTTGCCTCCACTCAGATACAAGAATCAGTTCTTTCTTGCCATCAGAAGTTTTCCAGTTGTTGTGCTGACAAGATCGATGTGATTTAGATAAAAAATTGGCTGCTTTTGTGGTGGCAAAACCATTTCTGGAGGGGATAGATATATCATCTTTTCTGGCACAGTCCTGGACAGTTTCAGTCACAGAGTTTCTAGCTACCATCTGTGATTTGGAGCCTTTACTTTCTTGGCTAGTAAAATGAAGTAGGGCAGTATTATGTCCATTATCCATTGATACTGCTAGTGACTCCTTAGAGGAGCGCTGATTACCAGCATCCCTCACATGAACAGTTGTTAGGGTTTTGTTTAAGAAGCCATCATTTTACCATAGCAATCTTACCAGTAATTGCCCTGTTCCTAATCTTACCTTTTGAGGAAAGATTATTGACAAAAATTGTGGCAAGACAATTTGGAAACCGCAGACACTTCTCATTTCTCTCATCTCGTTCTTTCGGTCTGGCTTTAGGCCTGGATTTGGTATGAAAGCTGTACTCGTCACACTGATCTCTTAGCAATGGAAAGTATTCTCACTGATTTTTAGATCAGTCTGAAGGCCTCCATTCATTTGTGACAAGATTTTCGCTGACTTGTTTGCAGACCATAGCTAGCTTAGACAGTGTTGCACTTGAGTAGTTCTTTCTTTCCTCTCTGAGAAATCCCAATAGGTGATTTGGGGCAATTGCCTGTTTGCCTGGAGGGCTTCCTCTTCCAGGATTCCACAGATTCCATATATTAGCTGAGATCAGCCAGTGAGGTGGGTAGAGCTATTAACAATCCCGAAGATTTAAACCCATGGAGTTTGAGGAAGGACATTCTATTGAAGGACTATCAGTTTAGGAATTAACTTCCCTTGCTGGTTGGGTAGAATATGAGTAGTTGATCTTTGGGCCACAGTGCAAGGCTCATCTTGTATTCTCAGGCTTTTGCCTGAGCAGGGAGGGGAGTGGCTGTGCTGGTGTATAATTTCATATGCGGTGAAGAAGTCTGATTTTTTTTAACTTTTAAAAAGCCACGTGTTACGTTAAATATCATATATGTGCCTAGATATGTATTGAGCATATTTTATACATTTTAAAATAAATAAATGGGGCTGAACTTTAAAGCTTCAAACTTCATGTGTGGCTGAACAGCTTTGAAAAATAGCTGCTTGAAAAGATAGAGGAAGGGAAGGGGTTAAATAACGAGGTTTTAGGCAGTGAAAACTCTCCTTTGTTTGCCTGCAGTAAAAGCTTTCAGTTATATTGCTGACTGCAGTATGCACTATGGAGTGGTGCAATAGTGCACAGCTCCAATAGTGTGACAACGATAGTTGTATTTCTGTTGAGTGGTGCAGCTTAAAACTCCTGAGGAAGTGAAAACGCAGCTGCAAAACTTCTTAGTGCCACAGCTAGTTCTTTCTTTTCCTGTCAGTTGAAGAAAAGAATATCAAATTCAAATACCAACATAAAGGCTGAAAACCTGAACCCAGAAAGATCAGGAAATTCAAAATGTAAGGTTTCAAAAACGATGTTCACTCAGCCTGTCACGCTTCCTTCCCCACTCTGAACTCTAGGATACAGATGTGGGGACCCGCATGCAAGACCCCCTAAGCTTATCCTTACCAGCTTAGGTTAAAAACTTTCCCAAGGTACAAACTTTGCCTTGTTCTTGAACCCTATGCTGCCACCATCAAGCGTTTTAAACGAAGAACAGGGAAAGAGCCCACTTGGAGATGTCTTCCCCCAAAATATCCCCCCAAGACCTACACCCCCTTTCCTGGGGAAGGCTTGATAAGAATCCTCACCAATTTGTACAGGTGAACACAAACCCAAACCCTTGGATCTTAAGACCAATGAAAAATCAATCAGGTTCTTAAAAGAAGAATTTTAATTAAAGGAAAGGTAAAAGAATCATCTCTGTAAAATCAGGATGGTAAATACCTTACAGGGTGATCAGATTCAAAACATAGAGAATCCCTCTAGGCAAAACCTTAAATTACAAAAAGACACAAAAACAGGAATATACATTCCATCCAGCACAGCTTATTTTACCAGCCATTAAACAAAAGGAAGTCTAACGCATTTCTAGCTAGATTACTTACTAACTTAACAGAAGTTCTGAGGCTGCCTTCCTGATCTGTTCCCGGCAAAAGCATCACACAGACAGACAAACCCTTTGTTCCCCCACCCCCCTCCAGATTTGAAAGTATCTTGTCCTCTCATTGGTCATTTGGGTCAGGTGCCAGCTAGGTTACCTTAGCTTCTTAACCCTTTACAGATGAAAGGGTTTTGCCTCTGGCCAGGAGGGATTTTATAGCACTATATACAGAAAGGTGGTTACCCTTCCCTTTATATTTAAGACACAGCCTCATTCCACAAAGTGTACTGGTGCCAAATGGGCAAGTGCATACTGATTTTGAAGCGCTGACTTTTTCGTTATCTGGTTGTTTTGTGTTCCGATTTATGTAGTGTATTTTATCTTTAACCTGTCTTTTACCTTTTGATTTAATATAAAATTCTTTTTAATTCTTAATGCAGAATTAATCAAAAAGGCCCTGTACATATCTGTGTTGGTTAACTGAAACTATGTTGGTTTAACAGCTTTTAACTTTTAAGATTCATTTTCTGGACAGAGACTCAGGAAACCTGTGCTCACTGCGTAGTTCTGCCACAGACTGCCTAAGGAAATCACTTATTCTCTCTTAGTGGGATTTTTGAAAGTGCCTAAGAGAGTTAGATGACTAATGCCCATTGAAAGTTCATAGGAGTTAGGTGTCTTCAGATACTTTTGAAAATCCAGTCCTCTGTGATGAGGGTCCCGGGGGTGTGGGAGGGGGGCACGCTGAGATTACTTAAATCAGTGCAAACTGGAAAGAATGGGGCAGACAACCCCCAAAGCTGGTGGATAGTCCAATTTTTAGATTCACCAGATAAAACAGCTTCTAGAATAATCTTACTGGTTACACGGAAGCCAAACATAGCAACCCAGCCTTTGGGCTCCCTCCAAGACAGCCAAGTCAAATATGAAAGTTCTACTCATCCCAAAGGATTGGACATATCTCCCAAATTAATGAATATTCCAGATCTTATCCAAATATACACTTACAGCCAATTCTTATGAGTACAGTTCTGAGATCAGTTTCATAGTAAAGATGAGGAGCTTTCTAGTTGCAAAGAGTTCTTAGAATTAGTCCATAATTTCGTCCAATGTTTCATACCCCGGGTGATCCAGATGCGACTGGAGGTATCAGTCTTATGACTCAAACTTCTGCCAAAATAAAGCTCAAGCAGATCTGAGAGGAAAGGATCAGATCCCAAGAGTACTTTATACAGTTCCTGGGCTTGGATGAAGAACAGGCTTTTGATGTAACCTTCTGTTTCTCAAACATTGCTGGTGATTAACTACATAGATTAACATAAGGTAATTTATCCATTAAGCAGTTCAACACAGACTTTAAAGAGACGTGTAGACAGTGACATTATCACACTCACATTTCATCTAAATGTTAATAGTCCCTTTTGATCTCTGAATGAATAGCTATCGTAATATACAGGAACTGTCTGTTTACACGGTTAACATCTTACAAGATATAACTAAACACGTACAATTATTATTACCTCTAATTCTCTAACAATACAGGTTTACATTTCAAAGTCCTTGCCTATCTAACATGGAATGGCCCGAATTACCATTTATCTAACATGTCTCTAAAGGTTGAATCTGGGTCATTTAGCCTGCGAGCTGCTTAACCCTTTCTGACCAGACGTCATAGCCTCAGTGCCCTATCTTTAAAATGGAGATAACGGACTCAGTTCTCTACTGGATACAAAGCTCAAGTGCAGTGGAGGAGGGACTAGGAAGGAGCTGATTGCAGATCCCTGATTCCTAGCTGACTTGTGGAAAGACCTTCTACCAGCAGAGAATCGGGTGTAGTGGCCTCTGGATCCACTACACCCCCATCCCTCAAAATGCATTTTGCATACAAGATAATCCAACCCAATAATACTTTCTCTTATCTACTCTTTGCATGTTTTGTCTAGTTAGATTGTGAGCTCTTCAGAGCAGGGACTCTCTCTCTTACTAAGGTTATGTACAGTGCCTAGCACAGTGAAGGCCTAATCTTGGTTGGGGCCTCTTAGATACTATTCTAATATAGATAAATAATAACAGTGGCAATATTTTGATGTATTACTCCGCATTCATTATCTAATGGCGGTTTATTCTGATTATACAGGTTACCCTTTCCCTACTGCTCCTCCTGTGGATCCATTTGCAAAAATTAGAGTGGATGATTGTGGAAAAACCAAGGGATGCTTTAGGTTGGTGTAGAATAAAAATGCAGATATCTTTCAGTTTATAAACCGTTACTTGACTTCACTAGGGACACTAGTAAATGTCCCACATTCATTTTACTAAATGTTTGTTGTCTGCAGATATTCACCATGATCAGGGACTATGTTGTTCAACACCTGATGAGCACTTACGTAAATAGTCCCAGTGAGATCAATGGACCACACCTCTGAATAAGTGCTCACCATAATGAGCCAACATGACCCAGTCCTACCATAAAGGGATAATTATTTTTAACACTGTAATTTATTGTATTATATATAAAATACAATATAGTATAGAAATGATATGTTCTACCAATATCTGAAAATGTTATTTATGTGACCACCACCATTAACAGCAACAAATCATGCTGTCTTCAAGTTTTCGATGTAGAAACACAGATAAGCTAGAACAAAAAAGCTGTTCATATTTTGCATGGTAGAAAAAGATACATGTTCTGTTTTCCTATTTCATCCAGGTATGGTAAACCTGGATGTAATGCAGAGACTTGTGACTATTTTCTCAGTTATCGTAGAATAGGAGCTGATGTAGAGTTCGAGTTGAGTGCTGACACTGATGGCTGGGTGGCAGTAGGATTTTCCTCAGACAAGAAAATGGTGAGACCAACAAAATTTAACGTTTCATGTTAACAAGTATATAAGCGTTTATGTATTAGAATAGGCACAGTTTATATTGGATTTGAAAAATATGTGGCAGGTGTAGAGAAAGATACACTTTTAATGAGAAATAATATCTAATGTTTGCATAGTGCTTTTCATCTCTAGTTCGCAGGGCACTTTACAAAGGAGGGGTGAGTATTATTAACCCCAGTTTTACAGATTGGGAAGCAGATCAGGAAATAGAACCCAGGCTTGCTGATGCCTGGTCAAGTTCCCTAGGCACTGGACACCTCTCTTGAGAATGAAAAACTACGGTGATCTCTGGCTTCTGCTTTTGAACGCAAGACTGTTAATGACTTTGCACTAATTTAATTCTAAAAAAAAATTCAAGAATAACAAATTTGTCTTCTAAGTGTTCTGACCAGTGTTTAATGGAGCAAAGTATACATCAGAAATTAGTGAAGTGTAAAGTTTTCTTGAATAAGTCAATTATTTTTCCACTGTATAAATCTGGACTTAACCATTACACTCTCAAGGAGATGCCCACTGCCTCTTTTTTCCACCAACACCCCACGTTCCCAGAAAAGCCAGGTGAATTTAGAGAGAAAATTATCATTGCTAATTTAAATATATATGCTATATAAAATGAACAAATTGAAATAGGCTTCTTTGCTTTTTAAAAAAGTTTTTGAACAAGGTTGCCTCATATTTATTCTTGTTCCTGTGATTTTTATATTTCAGAAGCATTGTTTTTATTGGGGTTTTATGAGGAAAGCAAGAATTGAGGACTATAATTCTGTTATATAAATAGTGATTCTCATTAATGTATTTAAGATTAGAACACAGTTTATAATGCTATCTATAATTGATTGCATATTGAAACATACCTATCTGCAACTGAAAATAGTGTTTATGTAATACATCCCTAGTCAGAGAACAAGTGGAGTTATAAAGTTGCATGTGGATTCTATACCCTGGAAAATGGGAGAGTGTTTAATGATCCTTAATCAGAGCCCCCTGAAGCAATAGAAAGACTCCCACTGGTATCAGCTGCTGACTTGGCTCAGGTCCAAAATGGGGAGCACAAAGAAAATGTGAGGAGGGATGCATTACCATCCTACCCATGTAAATGGTATTATGTTGGAAATAAAAGATATGCGTCATGTAGTCTTAAGAAATAGTTGTAGGGACACATTTTTAAAGGTATTTAAGAGCCTCAAGATACAAATAAGCACTTAGTGGGATTTTCAAAAGCACCTAGGCACTTAACTCTCCCAAGCACCTGTCTGCACCTTGAAAAATCTGGCCCCTACTCTATATCAGATTAATAGTGGTAACATGCAGCCTTATCATATATCCAGTAGATGGCACCCCTGCACAATCATAATTTTAAAGTGAATGATTTGGTTTTCAAACCTGCTATGTATGAGATGCTGTATGTCACTTAATCAGGCTGCAATGCCATTTGTCATTTCAGTCTTTATTGCTTGTTGTATCTGTTAATTTAATCTATTTTCCCAGTAATTTTCCAGCCAAACAAGTGTCCTAGAATATGTAGGGTTTGTTAATGTAAATGACTCTGAGCTTTTTGGCAAAAGCTCCTCATAAACAAAATTCTGCCTTGGTGGACTCAAGTCCCTGTTTCTGGCCTGAGCAGCCTGACACAGTTCAGGGAAGAAAAGCATCTTGATTCTTTGATGGATTATTTCTTCATTGCCCTGTGCAGCTTTTAGTATTCTTTCTTGGTCTTGAATAGCATAATGCTTGTTCCATTTTTGTGCTCTCTCTCCTGTTAAGATTTGTACTCCTTTTCTGTTAATTTAGGTTCAGATTTTATTATTTTTATTTGTTGACTCGGAACCATATTCTGATACACTTGCTCATGCTGAATGGTACATTACTCTACTATTCGTCCAGTTGAAGTGGATGGGACACTCGTGGAATGTGTTGCCACCCTTTGTGAGCAAAGGTGTCAGAGTCTGGCCCCTATTTATTCAGTGCCAACAATGTGCTTGTCACTGTAATATGCTCAGAAATAAGGACAATCCATGTCTTGAAGCATTTACAGTCTAAAAGACTGAGAAGTGGGACCCACTGAGAACTCCAGAGGTAGGGGTAATTAGTAAGGCTTTGTTTGTTTGTTTGTTTGTTTGTTTGTTTGTTTGTTTGTTTGTTTGTTTGACCTATAATTATTATGAATTAACTTTTTGTGGGCATAATGCAAGAAGTCAGTTTTAAGGAGGGATTTCAATTAGGAGAAAGTGGTTGTTTATGGTGAACTGAGGTCATTCCATACAAAGGGGGCACTGTAGAAAAAATGCACAGAGATGAGTGGAGAAGAAGGAACTGAATAGGGCATCATGTCTGGCATCACTGGCGGAGTTATGGGGTGGGGGAACCTGATAGGAAAAAAAACCCAAGATGTAGGGCAAGGTGGAGTTCTGCAGAACCTTACCAACGAAGACCTAGGAAGTTTAAATTCAATGTGGCATGTAAAGGAGAACTAGTAGAAAGATCCCAGATAAGGATGACATGGCAAGAACAACTAGGCAAGGAAAATAATTAAAAATCCTTGTTTTTTAAAAATTGATTGGGTTGATGTGTTAGGGAGCTGCATGGCAATTTTGACTACAGAACAGTTCAAAACAACATTTTAACTTTGTTTTGTGTTTGGTTTTTTAATGTTAAAGGTGCTGTTTTTTTTTTTTTTTTTTTTTTTAATCTCCTTGTCCTTAGAGGTGAAGAATTTTTGCTCAAACTTATAAAAAAATAAATTAAACCTTTAAACACAAATTAAGCCTGAGGTGAAAGTTTTTGAAAACAGGAGGTTAGAATGAAAGCCCTTATATAACCTCAACTGTAGCAGTCATCACCTCTCCCACATTAATACCGAGTACCTGGAGCTTTTCAAATCCATGTCTTACCTAGTTCTTCCATTTTTCAGCAGTTTTGTAAGAATCTACACAGCAGTGGCAGCTAAATTAATGTGCCACCCCTTACTTTGTCCCCATCCATTTTGTTCCCCAAAAGCAGTTTGTGCAACTAGGATTAGGTGAGCAAAGACAGTTATGAATCTTTTGCAACATGCATAAAAGAACAGACTTACTTAAGGATAAAGTCAGCAATCACTATTGCCTCCTTCAATGTGACACATTGATGACATTAGTACTATGGCTGTGGGGTATGTTGTTACCCAGTACTAACATCTACACCACTGGCAGTAACCCAATCTTTAGTTGCCAACAACCTACAAAACTTTAAGATTTATTCCTGATATTAATGCTTCTAGAAGGCTATACTTTTGTAAGTAATATTGTGCCCTGAACGGTTAAGTATCTTTGCTGTGTCAATAGTGTTTTTGAATAATTGTTTTAGGAATACAGTACTTCTATGAATAGCCTACACAAGTAATTGTCATCATACTTTTTTTTCATCCACTTGTTTGTTTCTCAGATTGTGTTTCTGTGTCACTGCCTACAATATGTGTGGAAGCAAATTTGCCGTTGGTTAGTTCTGTTAGTATTTTATAGTATTCAACTTGTTTAACTGAATTCCTACTTTGCACTTGGGTGATATATATTAAGGGAAGGAATTAGGAAAAACACTATTGAATTAAAGTAGATTCCTTGCAGTTACGCAATTAATCCTTCAGATATTTTAGATTTGTTTCCTACTGTTGATTAGATTATATAGCATTTAATGTAATGAACTTTGCACCCCAAAAGTTCTGTTCTTCTTCTGTTTTTGTTGTGGTACAATATCCAGGAAGTTCACAGATTTTGAACAATAAAAAAATGTTACTTTTTCTTTCTTGTTACTTAAATTATGTCAGGGAGTTGCCATCCTACTAGAATTTGGTATACATCATGGTGAAAATCAAAAAGTGGCTTGCATACCCATAAACAGATAGAAAAAGTAAATATTACCATTGACTTTTTTCTGCACAATCTGCAGGTGGAAGTATCCAGGGATTTGTACAATGAAAGGGGGAACTAGAGCTTTTATTATGTCAACTTTCATAGTGAAAATTATGTAATGTGAATACTTTTATGGATATGGAAAAAAATTATTACTTGTTGAGTTTTCTTGCTAAAAGTAAAACTTTCAAAAGGTAGAATTCTGACTCATTTCTTTCCTACCATGTAGGGTGGAGATGACGTCATGGCTTGTGTTCACGATGATAATGGAAGGGTCCGAATACAGCACTTTTATAATGTTGGTCAGTGGGCTAAAGAGATCCAGAGAAATCCAGCTAGAGATGAAGAAGGAATTTTTGAAAACAACCGTGTGACTTGTCGATTTAAACGTCCTGTGTATGTTCCCAGAGATGAAACTATTGTAGATCTTCACTTGAGCTGGTACTATTTGTTTGCTTGGGGTCCAGCAATTCAGGGTAAGTTGATGGTATGCGGCTATGACTGCGTTCTTCAATCTATTTCATCATTGTAAAAGGAATTAAAATAGTTTGCAAAAGATTTTCCGATTTCTGTTTACAATAGCAGTGTGTGCATATATGTAAATTAAGGGGGCACTGTCAAGTTAAGTCATATAAAAATTCCTTACCTACTCTTTTTGATTATCTCTACTCCCAAAAGCTAAAATTGATTATATATGCTTCAAAATGACCAGTTTATGATTCTTCTGAAGGATATTGTTCATAGTTTGTTGTTCAGGTTTCGTATGATTTATTCAGAGTTTTACCTTCTGGCACTATGTTAACTGTTGATGTAATGCTGTGTTTTTGTGAAGATTTCCTATTTGGCTAGAAACACCATTTTAAACTTATGAAAATCCTCCTTTTGGTATAGTAAATAGCAATAAGAGGAGGTGAGGTTATCTAGTGGAAAAGAAAGAAAAATAAGAAGTAGTTTAATTCACATGCTATGCTCATCTCTTTTTCTATCCTTTGTCTATTAAAGGTTCTATAACTCGGCATGACATAGACTCACCGCCTGTATCAGAGCGTGTTGTCAGTATTTACAAGTATGAAGACATTTTTATGCCATCAGCTGCCTATCAGACCTTTTCTTCTCCATTCTGTTTGCTTCTTATTGTTGCACTGACCTTTTATTTATTGATGGGAACCCCATGATCACAGCTGGATATGTATGGAAGATAGTGAGAATTTGTTAGTGAGAGTTCCTCAGGATGGATGAATTTTCTGTTGGAATTCATATCACATGATCGTCTAGCTGCTTTGTTGACAATTTCATCTTCTCAGCAAGGAAATAACCTCTCCTTTGAGCAGTAATGGTGTGCCAAATAATTAAGAGTAATCAAGGAGCAAGTAACAAACCACTTCCAGTGTAACTACTAGTTGTTTAATGAAAAATACTTTTGTAAAATGTGTGTGTGTATGTTGGGGGGAATTTAGTAATGGACATATAGAATCAAATTATTTAATACACAATTTCCTTCAGTTCAAGAACTAAACGTTGGGGAAATATTGTCTGTTAAATACTTGTGGTGCAGATAGCACACCTGTAAGTGCAGTTTCTGAACTCAAAGTCAGGGTATTGTCCCAGCACCGCTGTTTAATAAGGACTGCTTTGTGATAATGGGCTTTCACCTGCCAAAATACTTTGAATTTGACAAAAGCAACTCACAGGTCTAAATGGTTCTGGTGCTTTCCAAAACCAGAAAATGCTTCACATTCCCAGTACAAGCAAAGTTAAACTTTCCATTGCAGAATTCTAATAATTGTCTGTACTATAAAAATAATTCTTAGACACAGCCATACTTAAGAAGACATAGCTAAGCTTTTTATTAATGAGAGATGATGCTGTATAAACAAGAAAAAAGAAAATTAATGCTGATATAAATTCTTCATGATACAGAAAAATGCCTAAAAGTATATAGACTATAGAAGCCCCTGCAAGCCATAAGACATCTTCCAGTAGGCAAAGTAAGTTTCTTTTTTTATGAAAAAATGTTATTTAGATGTAAACGTCTTTTAAACAGCTCTTTTGCAGTAACCCTAAAGTGTCTGTTCTCACCTTGCTATCTGCCCTAAATTCCATTCATGTTAAAGATGAGCAGGAGCAGCAGCTCATTGTTCCCAGAGCAATGCAAACATGATCTATGGTACTAATATGAAAATATGGGAATAAATAAAAAGAGCCTTAATTTCAGTTTCATCAGAATCATAGGTAAAATCATATTTATCCAATGAGGAAAAAGACAATTCAACCATGAAAATAGATTTGAATTTTCTATCCTTCAAAGTATTACAAAAAGGGAAAGAAAATAGTTAAGTATTATTGTAAATGGGAGTGGCAGAAATGTATCAAATGAAGAATAGATCACAACTTATTCTAAAATGTTTTGGGTTATTGCTGTACATTTTTACTGTCTACATGATAGGAAATTTATGATTACCTTAAGCAGGGAAGCAGCTGTCTCTTTAAATACCTGATCTTGCAGATAACACATGCACAAATCTTCCATCCACTCAAATGGGAGTTCTGCATGCTTTAGGGTTGCAGGTTCAGTCCCTAAGTTATACTACGTATTAGGCTGTTGTACCAAGAGTACACAGTGCTTGACATGTTTGAGAACTCTTTAGCGCTATGTACTTGTAGAGTGTCTTATTAGAGATGATGTTTCCATCTTAGTTATTGCATGGTGAGGTAATAAGAAAAAAAATAATTGGAGTTTTGTAATTTGTGCATTATTACTCACAGTATAAAATTCAAAGGTTGATTTTTTTCAAGGCTTTGCATTCCTCGAAACTGTGTGCTTAAAGTATGTAAATTTTCGGTTTAAATGGTTATTTACCTCCCTAGCAAGCATTTTGTTCATATTTAAAATTGCAACATTTGTTTAAAAAATGGAGTATTAATTAGAAAAGTTTACACTTTAAAGTGCTTCATAAATAGTGACTTTATCTTAGTGCATTTCAGTAAGTGAATCCTCTATACCTGATTAACCAACTAATTAAATATGTGATATAGTTGTAGTGGGTCAGATCCTTGTCCCTGATAAGGTCTGCTTCGTGGAACTCTGGGAACAAATCATAGCCTTAATGTGTTCTAAGCAGACAGCTGAGATTCTTCTGGTGTAGCAGAATCCTTTGATGGCATAGATCTGGGTAGCTGGCTCTATGCCATAGTCTCTAACACTGGAGAGAAGAATGTGGTCAAAGCATGCTGTGTGTCCCATGTGCTGCTTAAATTACAGCAAGGAGCCTGTTCAGCTCCCAGCCCATGGCCAGTTTTACTACCAGCATAAGTTAAAGCAGTCTCTGGCCTGCTCTAATTTAGAGGCACTTACAGTAGCCCACAAGGGGCTGTTCCAGCAGCTATAGATTACTGGAGCATAACACAAACCTACCTTTGCTCTCCTGCCTCCACTTGACTCCTGGCTGGCCATCAAAATTGAGGTCAGTATATACAAAGACAGTAAAAATAACACTAAGGTACAAAGAGATTTAATCAACCTGACAAAAGTAAACAGATTCAGAGCTGAGGCTAAACCTTTGCACTTATTGTATTCCTTTGTGTCATGCTCGGAGAATATACACTATTTCAGATTACAGAGCTTTCAGGGCTGGTGGCTGAGCCTATGCCGTACATTAAGGCAAACGTTTGCCTTCACTTTCAGATTCTGTTTTTGTGAGTTAAAGGTTCACCCTTTACCTGAGATTAATGTTTTGTTTTTTTTTTGGTTGTACTTTCCTTTTGTTCAGATATTAGTAGCAGTATGCACTTGTATAGCACCAAGGATCTCAAAGTGATTAGCTGGCCCTATTTAGCCTTCCTTAATAATAGAGAAAAATACAGCAAGTCTACCAAAAAAAAAAAGAGAGAGAGAGAGAAACTATACTACTCTTCAGCTTTTCAACTGATGTTTGAGTTTGTGTCTATTAATTATTATTCTACTATACCATAATTTTACATACTTTACTGATATTAAAAAGGCATAATCCCCGCCCCAAAGAATTTAAAGTTCAAGGGGGGATGGAAAAGGGTTTAAGGAGAGTGGAAGGCTACAAACAGCCATTGAGGATTAGAGGTATAAGAGTGGATAATAGTGGAAAAGTAGAACTGCTTGGCCAAGAACAGAGCAGAAGGAAGAAAGAACAAGCCTATAGGAAAGAAAGTTGGCAAGATCATGGGACTTTCTCCATGAGCATCTCTACAGAGCAGGAGCAGAGATAATAAAGGTGAGGAGAGAAACAAGGCTGGGAACTTAACATATATTCTATATTGGAAAGATATTATCTATAGCAAAGTCCCCTTTTCACTACAGCATCACTGCAATCTTGCTTCCTAAATGGAAGGTGTCTCCTACTACCGAATAACAGAGACTTCTGACAATGCCTATCACCCACCCTCTCCCCCAAGTCAGAATAGGGTACATGGTAGTTAAAGTAGCACCAGGTTGGAAATGAAACATCAGAAGCAACCCAGTTTCAGAATTTTCACCAAGTAAAGTTGCTTGGACTGCTAATATTTGGAGAGGACAGGAAAAGGGTGAAACTGCAGCAACGCTGTAATTAGGTTTGGAAAGATTAGATTTTTATCAGTAAATGTAAATAAACATTGATTTCAACACACACCCAGAAACCAACAAAAAATATTTCCATTTATGAGAACTGAAATTTACAGATAGGCAAAATTCAGCTTGAACACTTGTTAGAGTTTGATTTAAGGATATGTACTTCGTATATTTTTAAGTGGTGATGTTGATAATTTGTGTTAATGGTTATAAAGTTTTAACATTTTGAATTTCCAATTCTGCTGCCATTAAATAATTGTCTTCCTCCCCATAATTTCCCAAAACTGTGAAAATTTAAATCAAATAAAAATGGGGGGGAAATGCTTTAACTCTATAATTGTGCACGACTGTGAAAATTGAAAAAAATACTTCAAAATAAACATCAATATTATCAGTCAGTTATAATACAAAATTGAAGTCTGCCAAGCCTAACTATAACAGAGAGGAAAGGTCTGGACTTTAGTGAAATTTGACTCTTGATATAATACCTCTTCAGTAGTAACTGGGCATGCCCCGTAACTGTTTCTTATATGTTGTTGTTTTAAATACTAAAAAGCAGTAGTTAGTCCCTGATATGATGAAGTACTGTAAACTTGCTTTACACTTTTTATTGCTTGTGGAGGGTGCCCTGGAAACTAAAGTCCTCTTTACCCACAGAAGCTGTATGCAGCAATGCATGCTTCTTCATACCTGCCTAACTAATGTGTATCAACCCTGACCAGGAGAGTCAATCTCTAGGGAGAGGATAGTTTAGTCTCCATACCAAATCATTTCTTAGCCTACTTACTGAGATTACTAATGAATTGGCCATTAAAGAACAGTTTCAAAAGGCTTCCATTTTGTGTACGAGGTGAATTAATTGTACAGTTACCTGGCACACATGCACAAATGCAGGCACAGGAACGTGCATGGAAATTTTGCGTGTACACAATTAGGAGGCCTTTGGAAATATGGCCCTGATTGTTCTTTTCCAACATTATCTGTATAACCAACAAAAGGCATTAGTTACCACCTGGGACCATGTATCTGTATAAAAATTTTTTTTTTTTAGCTGTGAGTTCTGCTTATTATGTTAATCATAGTGTTATCTTGTGCTCCCTTTGTCTGTCTTCACCTGTTGCCTCTCATTTTATACATAGATTGTAAGCTCCTTGGAGCAAGAATCAGATTTTTGTTATGTATGTACAGTGCCTGGTGCAATGGGACCCTGCCTTCTCCACGGGGGCCTCTAAATGCTACCACAAGACAAATAATAAATATAATAATTTGGCCTGTTTTACCCAGAAAGAAAGAATGAGATAGGAAAGAGAGAGAAAAAGAAGAGGGAAGGAAAGCACAGCTGAAGACTCCCTTTTTACTTTCATAAAGACATATAATCTCATACAGTTTGTTTATAGTAGAAAAGGTCTTAAAACCTAAATTACAACATTACAAACTAAACAGTATTACTGATTTTATGAAGTATTTAAATAGAGGGTAATTCAGTTACCCAAAGTTCAAAAGCAGAATAACCCTGTTTTCATACTCGAAAGAAACTGTATTGGGGAAAACTCTGCCTCTTCCCATCCCACTCCTCCCCGCCACACACACTTGCTTTGCTGCACTCCAGTGGTACAAAGGGATAAGAGACATTTAACTCCCCTGTTATGGTTATCCCTATCTTTAGGATGTTCCCAGCTGATGTAAATGTAGCAGAGCTGTCATTCATTTATGTCACCCTCTGCACAATCACCACCATATGATGGGGGGATGAGGGGAGTGAATGGAACATGATGTGCTAGCAGCTAATCTTTTTGAGACCATTGCAAACTGATACAGGTTAAAGAAGCACTCAGGCTGAGCAAAGAATCAGGATCTGCAGCCACCTTTCAGCAGAACCCAGAATAATTTAGATGCAGCAGATAATATAGCTGTTATGTGATAAATCCAGTGCAAATTTAGCACAGACTTGGCTGCTTAATAAAATTACAATTCATTTCTTTATGTAAAAGGTCCAGCATAGAAACCTTGGGATTGCCATACCAGATCAGACTAATACCACTATTCTGTCTTTCATCGTGGCAATTATAGATGCTTCCATGTTAAGGCTACCCAGATCATGGTTTGAAGTCCTTGCTGGACCTCAGCCTGTGCTGCTTATGCTGCTCCCAGTCATTGTAGGCAAGTGAGTGGAGAGACTGTGGGGAAATGGAGTGAGCCAAATGTGCCTCCTCCCCAGCAATGTACCAGACAGCAGAGCTGGTGAGTGCAAGGCAGAATGTAAGCTGTGTCCCTTTCAGAGCTCTCTCATCTCCTCAGATCTCTTCCAGGGATAGTGCAGGTATGCCTCCACATATTCAGGACAGAGGCTAAAAGATTATAAATAAAGCTCTATTTTTTTAATGTATGTTGTCTTTTAACATCATTGGATGCCCCCTTGTTTTGCCACTATGAAATGGAGTGAACAGGAATCCCCACTCTGTCACTCTGAGAGCAGAAGGCGGGGGCCCGCAAGGGTTCTAAAAATTAATACTCACCACTCCAGGCTTGTATTAAACTCCCATAGTTACAGCTTTTCTCTTGGCTTGGTAAATGCTGCCACCACCCAAATGCAAAAAAAAAACCAAAAACCCTTTGAACCCAGGAAGGAGCACTTGGGAATTCCTCCCTGTGGGGTACCCTCAAGGGGAAGAGCTGAGAAAGAAAACAAAGGAAATTAGCTGAGGCTATCAGCTAATCAAACAACATGCACAAACCTCGTAGGACACCAAAAATCCAGTCCTGTTCTTAATAAAGTTAAATTTTTTAAAAACAAAAGGGAAAAAATACATCTGGAACTTAGGCTTTTGCTAGATTTTAAAGGAGCAATTCCAAAAATAAAGCACCCAAAATAGCTTTCTTGGGGGGTTCAGCTTAAAGGTTACAAACAACCAAAAGCATCAGGGGGTTAGCACAGAGGAGATCTACAAGTCTTAAAAAATAAATAAACCTGATCTAGCTAAACATTCTAATCTACTTACACATTTGGACTTTCAGATAAGTAGTTCTAGGTATGATCTGATGATTTATGATCATACCTGGCTTAAAGCTATACACAGCATTTCTGCTGCCCCTCTGTAGGAGTTCCTGCCTGACTATCTTTATACCACTCATTATTTTCTCTCTCTCATGTGTCACCTCCAGCTAATATCCCCAAATAGAACAAACTTGGTTCTGCTTAGAACTGTGTCAGAAGGAACCATGTGCTTTTTCCTTCCCTAGAAGCTGGCTGCAAATAGCACTGTAAAATTACAGAAAAGGAGTATCATTTTTTTTCCACGGAGATCCATTGTGGGAGTCCTAATATTATTGAAATGGTTGTACATACACTGTATAATTTGTCTAGAACCTGGAACAGCTGGAGGAAACAAAGTTAACTAAATAAAACTTATAAACGTATATATTCTGCATGGATACAATCAACAACATTCATTTAGACCCTGATCTTATAATGTATAGACAGTGGGTGCAAGCAGTCTGCACACATGCTACACATTGCGGAATGCAAGCATCAGTAAGTATTTTTAGAATAAAATGGGTAAACATTTATTTAGTATAATCATAAGATATTGTTTAATCAATAAGGAGGAGATTAATTATTTCTTATACTTACTGCTTTCTCTTAAGTGTTTGAGGTGTTTACTTAAGATCGGATTATGTCACCCTTATTCACATTAATTAAACTACTCAATATGTATAAGAGAGGCAGAATCTGATCCTAAAGAAAATTCAACTTTTATGTAGATTCTCTCCAGGCCGATGCAGACTAAAGACTACATTCTTTGCTAAAATACATATTCACATAAATCCAGAATTTGACCCTAAAGCCTTGAATCTGCCCTTTAAGATATGGAAACACATCACTGGGTACAGGATCTTGACAAATCAGCTACTGGCCATTTCACAGGGGACAGCTCTATATGCCTGAGTATCAGGATGGAACTCAGCTCTGTATCTGTGCTCAAGGGCTTTCATTGCAGATCATGTATTTACCCGAATTTAATCTCATTGTGTTAGTGGCATTTCTGCTGTGTTGTATCAGAGTTGCATTAGGATCTGATACAACACTAAAATATGCCCATCTTCTGTGTGGATACTTCTAACAGGTCCTGGAAGCTTTAAAAAAAATGTCAAATTTCCAGTGCAGAAGGCAGTCAAGGGAAATAAAGATTATATATTTGTGTATTATGTACCAGATTTTTAAAACCTGCCCTCTGTTTCTGCATTCACTGTTATTTGTATGTGTAATTTAGATGTCTTAAGTATCTGATTTTGCACACAAATATGGTATAGATAACCCCAGTTTTTCTGAACCTGTTTTCTCTAGATCTGTGTGTTGTTGGTAATATATTTTATATCTACACACACAAATTAAATAAATGAAAAGCAAAATTCAGTTTTTACATAGATTAGTTTTTGGATATCTTCTAAGACCTTTGTAAAATCAGCTATAATTGTATTTGTGTCTAACAGATCTAAATTGAGCCACTGCTAGACTGTGAGTCACATAATAGAGCATAGTACCAACATAAGATGAGTGGATGATAGGTGTGAAGAAGGAGTATGAAAATGTAGTAACATTACTTTCTTTTAAAGTGCAAAATGAGTTACAAATATCAACCAAATCAGCATAATAAATAGTATGAAATGTATTTATTTTGGGTTCATGTTACACTCCTTCAGAAATACAGTTCCTTCCCCGATTTTACTAGAGTAAGGGAAGGGGAGCATTCTTCTAATTTAGTGTTCAGTATGTATTCAACATGACCTTACAAAGTCTTTAAAAGTGGTACTGCTGAGTTTTTAAGGCTAAATTTGGCTTAGCTTAAAACTTCTACTAGCTGGTTAGGAATCTTTGGTTTTAGGATTCTCAATCTATTGTCCTGATATGGTATGGCAATCCCAAAGTTTCTATGCCAGACCTTTTACATAAGCAAATGAATTGTAATTTTATTAAAAAGCCAAGTCTGTGCTAAATTTGCATTGGATTTATCACATAACAATGTTGAGAATATTTTAAGAACCATTTCCAGCAGCAGATGACTAGTAACAGTAACCAAATTTTTTAAACTTGAAATCTAAAATTACAACTCCAAATCCATATTTACATTCCTAAATTAGTCGGATTTTTCAAAAGTGCTAAGGAACTGCAACTCCCATTTGACTTCAGCGGCTACTCATGATAAAAACTGCACTGTAATCACTATGTGTAGGGGTGAATCCGAAGGCAGTTACATAGACTCTTTACCTTTTAGATCATTCAAGTTCAATAATTCAAGGTATTTCAGATTCTGAAAATGGAAACATTCAATGAATAGATAAATAAGTCTTTGATTCTGTGGAAAAGAATACAAATATTTTTGCATCTTTTCATTGTAATGCTCTTCTACACAAAGGTTAGAAAAATAAAAAATAAAAGCAACTTCCCTGTCAGTGTTAATATTTAAATAAAGTAATTTTGCTTTAGGCTTTTTGGTTTTGTAGAAATCAGAGAATCCAGTAAGATGGTTTTAGAATGAAAAGTAACTGGGAGCATGCTCTGGAGAGTACAATAAAGCAAACCACTTTACAGCACAGGTTCATTAACCCTTTTAATCTTATTTTCAAGGGATATTTTTCCCCGCCAATACTATATATTTATAGTGTAGTATATATTTTTTTCCACCATGAAGGAAAAAAGAAGTTTGGGGATAAGAGAATATTGTATATAAAATTAGTAGAATTGGAGGTGAAATGTAGATGCCACATTAAAATCTAGGAATATCAAAGTTTATATTATCAGCGATAATGATGAGAATTTCTTTAAGCAACTATATCGGCAACTATACCATGGCAATACTAAAGTGAGTGGTATTATATACAGCAGTGATTTTTTTTTTCTGATTTCACATCTGATGATAAAGTAGTAACAAAAAATACAGCTACCGTCTATTTTTTTCAAAGCTGAAAATAGTACCATGTTTACTGAAAGAAAATCAAGGGCAAAATTCATATTGGTTTCAATAGAGTCAGGATTACACCCTAAAGATGTTTCCAGCCTTGACTAAAGATGGACATTTTTGTTCCCATATATTAAATATCAACAGTTCTGTTTAGATTAAGACAAATGTCTGGTTGAACTCAGTATTTCTAGTTAGTGCATTCTGAGGTCTGGTTTGCTTCAGACTTTTTGTGTGATTAAGACTGTAAAAAGTATGCTAACTCTTGCCAGTTTGTTCAGTATCATATGAACTGTAAAGAATGTAACTTATGCCAGCATTAAATTTTAATTTTGTACAACGTTTGTGCTAAAAATGAAATTTTAGTCTAAATAATTTATATTCACATGAAACGTGTACCTACAGTATTTAATATTAAGCATGCTCTTCATTCTCTGTCTTGAGCCCAGTCCTCCATTCCTTTCCAGCTCCTGTTTGAAGTCATTGAGTACTTTGTTTGGTGAGAGTGGAGGAATAGGCTCATTGAGGTTTGGTTGTCAAATACCTGGACAGAAGTTCTTAAAAATAAACTTTTATGTTAATGCATTGGAATTTGCAGAAAGATAAAACTGAACAAATAGTGAAATTATTTTCACCAACAGGACTATTTTATAAAAAGTGCATGCCCTAAAACATTGCTTTGTAATATTTGTTTTATACTAATTGCGTTGTTGATGTTCTAGTGGACTTGGTTAATTGTCTGACAATAACATATGCAAATATTTATAAACCTGTTATAGTAAATGCCTTTTTACTGTAAGAAATTATGTGGTATGGCATTTATAAAGAAACACAGACTTTACAGCTAAAATTATAGTAGCTTTCTTTATCACGTGACATCTTTATATTAAGTTAGTACTTCCATTCTAAGGCGCAAGTGCTGCAAACATGTGCTTAACTTTTACTACCATGAGTCGTCATTGCAGTGAAGTGTTACATTGTAGGACTAGATAAGTAATGTGTGAGAATCCCAGATGTCAAAGCCATGATGCTCCTACTCATATTCACTGACTCTCGGTGAGATTGCCTTCCTGCTGAAGGGAATAGGTAATTCCTATTCCCATGCTCCTCTTTCCTGTGTAAGAACAGACAGAGGGAGGTGGTGCTAAGAGAGAATACCCTGATGTGGCCATTTTGGAAGGAATAGAGCTCTAAAGAGGTGAGCTAATTTGATGTGACTTGGAGCTGAGTTGCTCAACATTCTCCACCAGCACCTTTGATCACCAGGTGCTAGACAGAGCCTCCTTCGTAACCTGTTACTGGAGTATCCAGGTTGTAGTACTTCTGAACATCACAAGGGCACTGGAAAAGAGGGTAAGTCAGAGCTGGCCATCCAAACAGTGAGGCAGCCAAAGATCACACTCATCACCTTGGGCCTTTCAGAAGTGCCCAGAGATGAGTGTGAATTATACTTATTTTTTAAAAGGTGCCGTACAAAACAGTGAGCCTTACTTCAGAGCCAGGCACATCAGGTAAAATGATACTTAGGAATAGGATTACAAAATACATCCATGAATTTGTGCTGGGTTGTCCCCCTCATACAGGCTACATAGCGTGCTTCATCTAATAGGATTCTTTGAGTTTGTCAGCAAAAGAGCAGATTAAGGAGAGTGAGCTGCTAATCTCTTTGGACATTCAGAAAGCCTCTGACAAAGTCTCTGAGAAGAGGAAAACAAGGAAAATAAGTAATTACGAGATGAAAGCTAAAATGGATCAGATACTGTCCAACAGACAGAAAACAAGAATAAAGGATCAATGTTCAGCATACCAAAAGATTAACAGTAAAGCATCCCAAGGTTCTGCATTAGTAATGATACAGTAATCTTTTTCTAATCATCTGGAAAGTGAGGCAAACAAGATGACAAAATTTACATCCAGCACAAAAACATTTTAGACTAGTCAAGACTCTAGAAGACTGACGAATTACAGAGAAATTTAATAAAGCTAAGTGAATGGGGAGCATAGTAACAGATGAAATTCAATATTAAAAATGCAATTAATGCACCTGGGGACAATAATGTAAACTATGCAAAATTTGCTGGGTTGTACATAAACTATACTAATAAAGGGAGAAGACCTGGCTGTCAATGTGGAAAACTTAATGAAAGTCTCTTCAGTGTACAGAAATTATAAAAGTGTTAGAATGTATAAAGGTTGGGATAGAAAAGAATACCAAAAATGCAATTATATAAATCGATGGTACACCCTTCACATGGGATGCCATTTTCAGACCTGATCACCTTAGTTGGCCAGACGATATGTTTCTAGGTACAATGTTCAGAACCACCAAAGAGACTTAGGCACTTAAGTCCCATAGACTTGCATTATTTCAGGGTATGCTCTTCCCCTGCCCACCTCCCTCGCTCTCCCTACTGCATGTAACCTCCTAATCCCCTGCCCCCTCTGTGTGGGAGTTGGAGAGAAAGGCTGGAACAGCGGAGGATGGCTGGAGCAGGAGAGGCTATTGCTTTTACAGTTTCACTTCTACAGGCACTATCTTAGGGATTCTGTTGCTGGCTGTGCTGCTTAGTCACTCTGAGTTTTTGGTTTCCCTATCTGTAATATGGGACCTCTAATACTGACCTTCTCTCCCTTTAGGAAAATGCTTTGACAATACTAAGCATGATAATCAGGGCTATATGAGTGTATCTTTACCATGTGACTAACAGTATCTGTTCATTTACCTCTCACTGTTCTGATGCCAAGAGTTCTGAAGGAACTCAAATGTGAAATTGCAGAACAACTAACTGTGGTATGTAAGCTATCATTTAAATCAGCTTCTGTACCAGGTGACTGGACGATAGCTAAAGTTTTTAAAAAAGTGTCCAGAGGCAATCCCAGCAATTACAGTCCAGTAAACCTGACTTCAGTACCAGACAAATTGGTTGAAACGATAGTAAAGAACAGAATTATCAAACACATAGATGGACACGATTTGTTGGGGAAGAGTCAATATGGTTTTTGTAAAGGGAAATCATACCTCACCAATCTACTAGAATTCTTTGAAGGGGTCAACAAGCTGTGGACAAGGGTAATCCAGTGGATATAGTATACTCAGATTTTCAGAGGTCCGTCACCAAGGCTCTTAAACAAAGTAAGCTGTCATGGCATAAGAGGGAAGGCCCTCTCATGGATCAGTAACTGGTTAAAATATAAGAAACAAAGGGTAGAAGTAAATGGTCAGTTTTCAGAGTGGGGAGAGGTAAATAAATATTGGTGTCCCCCCAAGGGTCTGTACTGGTAACAGTACTGTTCAACATATTCATAAATGATCTGGAAAAAGGGGTAAACAGTGAGGTGGCAAAATTTGCTGATGATCCAAAACTACTCCAGATAGTTAAGTCCAAAGCAGACTGCAAAGAGCTACAAAGGGATCTCACAAAAGTGAGTGATGGGGCAACAATATGGCAGATGAAATTCAATGGTGAGAAATGCAAAGTAATGCACATTGGAAAACATAATCCCAACTATAGATATAAAATGATGGGGTCTAAATTAACTGTTACCACTCAAGAAAGAGATCTTGGAGTCTTTGTGGATAGTTCTCTGAAAACATCCACTGAATGTGCAGCGGCAGACAATTTAACAGAATGTTGCGAATCATTGGGAAAGGGATAGATAATGGTCAACCTGTGGAACTCTTTGCCAGAGGATGTTGTGAAGGCCAAGACTATAACGTAGTTCAACAAAGAACTAGATAAGTTCATGGAGGATAGGTCCATCAGTGGCTATTAGCCAAGATGGTCAGGGAGACAAAACCATGCTCTGAAGTGTCCCTAGCCTCTGTTTGCCAGAAGCTGGGAATGGGCGATGGGATGGATCACTTGATGATGACCTGTTCTGTTCATTCCCGCTGGGGCACCTGGCATTGGCCACTGTCAGAAGACAGGATTCTGGGCTAGATGGACCATTGGTCTGACCCAGTATGGCCTAGGTTCTTATGATAGCAAAGAAAAAATCATGCTGTTGGAGATTTCTGTTTCAAGGGTAATCTAGGTAAGGACTTGTGCTCTTAGAAGAGCATGAGACAAAGTCTTCCAGTGTATTACATTGCCCTATGGAAGAACCAGTTTCAGAAATGAATTCTTGTTCCTTGGGGCATGTGGCACAGCAGCAAGAGTGGCTGCAATAGAGAGCTCCTGCAGGTAGAGATCAGCTGCATGTAATAATTGGATAAAAATAATCTGATTTCCATAGGATCGTCAACATTTATATTCTGGAACCCCAGAATTATTCTTTCTGGTTTGTAAATCACAATAAAAGTGGTTTCAGAGTAACAGCCGTGTTAGTCTGTATTCGCAAAAAGAAAAGGGGTACTTGTGGCACCTTAGAGACGAACCAATTTATTTGAGCATGAGCTTTCGTGAGCTACAGCTCACATAAATTGGTTAGTCTCTAAGGTGCCACAAGTACCCCTTTTCTTTTTACAATAAAAGTGGAATCAATTCACCTTTTCTGAGGGGTCTTAGTGAAGTAAATAAAAAATTAAAGTCTCCTTGTGCCAGTTTCCCTTCTCTTTGTGTTTGAGGCCCAAGATGGGTACTTTTAAGGGAAGAGCTTATATTGTGATGTAAAAGAACAAAATCAACGAAGATTGGAGAATGTCATGCATTTATTTAAACAAAAAAAGTAGCAAGGAACGAATCTGAACAATATTAGCTAATGGAGAAATATCTAGACATATGCACAGACTTCCTCCACTGAACCTTAGACTTTTTATTCACGCATTCACCCTGCTCCTCCGATGTCTGAATGTTCCCTGTCTTCTTCCTGTAACTCTCTGCCGCTGGGGATCATGTTATGACTGGTGCAGCACAATACATAGGAGCTCTCCTCAGTCACTGAGCCTTTGTTTATTTAAATCTTGCTTTCAGTCCACGTTCACTTCAGTAGATGACCAGGTCTCCCAAAATGTGTTGCCGTATTGCTTATGACACACTATTAAACATGGTAAAAAGGGCATAATCATGAGTAAAGTACAAAAATATATAAATAAGTCAGCTACTTGTCGCTGCTGTTACTAGTATCTTAGATCTAATAAAACATAGGAACAGTACTTGCTTATGCACCAAATATAAGGACCTTGTGACAAAGTGCTAGGCAAGAAAGGGAGTCAGCACTCTGTTCACAGCATGTCCAATCAATCAAGGCAGAAAGAAGCTGATTAAGCAGAGCTGTGCCTAATTTGTGGGTAGGGCAGGGCAGAAAGGCTAATTAAGCCATTAGCCAGAGCCCACAAATAGGTACAGGAAGGAAGTGGAAAGAGAGAAACAGGCAGCTTGTTATAAGAGCTGTATAGATGATGAAGGTGGTGGGAATCCATTTGTAAATAAACTGCACAAGGTGTTGGACCAGTACAAGGCTCTCTCAGTAGTTTGTAGACCGGGACAGAGGCAGGAGCCAGGAGGCCCTGTTACAGACCTGATGAGAGCACATTGCCTCCTCCTGGAGCTGCTGCTAGAAGGCACGGCTGCCTCATGCTGTTTCTCTGTGTTCTTTCCTCTCTCATTCTCTATCTCTCAGCCCTCATTTTGCTGTCTGATTTCATCAAGGTCCTTCATTTCAGTGTCCATCTTCTCATTCTCTAATCTCTCACGCTTCTTTCTCTCAAATCTCTTGCTCTCTGAGTCGTTGATGCTCCATAAAATCTGTCTTTAGCAATTACAAGACATTGCTAACATTTGTGACATGAAATGTGGTATTGTAAATGGTTTGATAATCTATAGCAACTCACAGCTAATTACCCCCTTGACATCTTCTCTTGGATGTCTCATCATCAATTTACATTAATAGATTCAGATATATTAAGGC